TTTTTTTTTTTTTTTTTTTTTTTTTTTTTTTTCTCTTCACGATTTTTGCTGACGTGCACGAAGGAGGAAGGGCGGGGCCCAGTTCCTGAACCTGACCACCCTCTCATTCCACACTTAACAGACAACCGCGTCGCGGAGCGCACCCGACGGTGATGCGTATCACGCCGCATGCAACAGGATTCGGAACCATCCGCAGAGAGAGCTCCGCGGTCCTTCAACCAGGACCGGCTTCATCTTCCTTTCGTCAGGGGTGCGACGCTGTTTCGTGCGCTCCATTTTTTTTATGTGTTCGCTTTCCGTGCGCAATTGTCAACCCTCGCACCTCATCCAAGTCCATAGTTGACTACCGCGGGCCAAATCAGGTGGATTCAATGTGATTGTGCCTAAATTGGCCCGCAGTAGTCAAGTTCTGTCATGGCAACCTGACAACACTTTAATTTCAACACAGACGTGTTGGAAAGACGTTGGATCAACGTTGAACAGTTGTTGGACCAACGTTGGCTACCTGTTGATCAAACTGTTGGAAACACACAACGGTGATGGTCCAACGGTTGGGCAAGGCATTTATCGTCGTTCCAACGCTGGTCCACCACGGGCACCGAGTTGGAAACTTGATGGATTTTTTCCACATTTTTTCTGTTGTAACCCCCCAGTTGTCCGGTCTGATCACCTTCCTGCCTCACTTCCTTCCTCAGTCCATCCAACCATAGCCGCTCAGCAGCCTGTAGCAGCCCGTAGACGCAGCCATAGTGCATGGCGGTGGACACCTGGAGCAGCAACAGCGTCCAGCAGCAGCGACGACTACCGTCCGCACACCCAGCAGCAGCACCAATAGCAACTGCTGCAGTCCATAACAACTACTACTCGTACACAACAGTAGTACACAGCGGTCAGCAGTCTACCAGTGGTCAACAACGCATAGTACACCGCAGCAGTCCCTCCCCCGTATACAGTAATAAATCGGGCAGCCCGCAGTAATCAACTGCAGTCGCCGCAACCATTTTGCCCTAGTAGGCCGACCACCAAAGAAAGCGGCGCATGCACAGCCTTGTCTTCGCTGGGAAACACGCTGGTGGTTTAAGAATTTGCAGCACCAAGGCTGCAGTATAAGGGGGTGCCACAACATGTGAAGGTTGGCCAAATTTCCAGTGCGGACAACAACCGGTCCTTCAAGTAAGATCCTTCCAACAACTATAACTCGTCCATCTATGCACTGCAGGATCAGTCCTACCCAATGACATGAGGGTCAAAAGGGTGCCTAGATTTTATGAAGTTCATAAAAACTTTCGGAAGCCCAATCTTGAAGACATCTGACAGCCCGCGAAAAGATATTGTCCCAGGCTAAGGAGACGCCCACTAGGGCGTGCTACAAGAAGTTGTAGAGCACACGACT